TTGCGCTGAAGCCGAAGGCGGTGTTGAAGTCGCCAGGAAAGAAAATGGTTGCGACGGCGGTGGTGCAAAAGAGAAGATCTTATCGCAGGAGTTAGATGTGTGCAAGAGGGGATGCAGCAGTCATAGTGGCGTCGGTGGAGATGACGGGGTAAGAGGCGACGGAGGAGAAGGTTGCGGCGATGACGCTTGTCGGCCTCGTTAGAAGAGCAGAAAAGAGAGTATAGAGAGTAGAGTAGAGGAATGGTTTTGTTTTGTTTTGTTTTTTTTTTTTTTTTGCATATCACATATATATAGGGGCAATTTGGGAAGTTAGCTAAAAGTTTTAATCCATTTTGAATCATATTATCTTTCACATTTTTTACATACAAAAGGATAAAAAAATCAAAAAAAATTAAAAAATCAACTTTTTAACTAACTTCCTAAATAACCATAGAGAGGGTATTTTGGTTATTTAATCTGAGTTTATCCTTATGGACAAGCCAGCGCCTAAATCTCTTAGCAAACAAAATTCAAAATTGAATTTTTGGCCCCAGCGCCGTATAAACTAAGGATATATCCACCCAATATCAATTAGTATTGAAATAAATGCCTCTAAAATTCTAACATGATATTAGTGTTAGAGGGTTGGTAATCTCTCCGTACTTAATTATTGGCTGTTGATATATTTTTCTATCATCTCTTATTTATTTTTTATTTTTTTTATCACATCACCTGACACCAAGTTACATGTGCAAAAAAATATTAGAGATTTATTTTGCATTCAAAGCAATCAAAGTTTTTGAAAACTAGTCCAAACAACCAAACAAAAATTTGGCTAGCACAAGTGAGCTTATCTTAATCAATGTATTCAATTAACCAAGATCACGCCAAAGCATAAACTAATGTTAGCCTATACAAGTCCACTAATGTTAAGAATATAAAATTAAAATATAAAATGAATTATAGAAATTATAATGATTGGTTGAAATTTATTCAAAATGTAAAACTTTTAATAACAAAACTTATAATAAAATTAAGTGCACAGGTACAAAATACAAAATGTGGCACAAATGTCTCACAAGAAGTGAATTGCGAGATATCTGTATTCATTATATGTTTTACGGTAATAATACATTCCACTAAAAGTGGTGTTCTAAAATCCACTAATGAGTTGGCAAGCACTTTAAATAAATAAATAAAAAATAATACACAAGTAGTGGGCCCCGTCCTCTACCACATCACTAGTGGTGCTTTTAGAGCACAACTTTTAATGGTCTCAAGCATTATTGTATGTTTTATATCTGTACACTTAGTGCTACTATTGAGATTAATCTCAATTATCTATTATATTTTGTGTGATTAATGTTGTTTAATAAAGTCCTAGAAGAATAAAGAACCAGTCAACAATAGGCAAACAAACAAGGGCAAGAGGCCACTAATCCAATTCTATCATTTTTATGATTAGCCAAACGCAACTTTACAAGTTTACAATAATATCTTACAATATGTCTCTATCTGTCTGTCTATTCCTCCACACCAGAAGAGTCAACTCGGTTTCATGTAAAAGAAATCTTATCGCACGCGCTTAAAGTGCGCGTGAAAATATAAACTATCAACTTGTTAACCTTACATTTCAATTTTTTTTTTACATAAATAAAGAAGGATGCAAGTGACAGTTATACCTCTAGAATTCTTCGGTTCCACTTCATCATAGAATGACTTGAACCTCACATATTTTTGTAATTTTTTTATCTATCTATTTTTGGACTATAATTCTCCCTTAACTTTAAGAAAAAAAAATCAATTAAGTAGAAGTTCTAAAAAATATCACAAATAAATGGTTAATTTTATAAAACTTAATAATTAAAATTATAAATTTATCATGAATTTATAATAATTTTCTCAAATTACTACCACTTGTTTTTCTTAACTTTAAATTCTTACAATTAGTAAAAGAATAAAAAATAAATTACACTCACCTCCACTAAGATTTAAATAAATACAATTAATTTTTTTAGTAAGATTAAAACGATTGAAACTAATGTATATATTGACAAAAACAAAAATAAATATACAATGTAATTAGTGTGTTTGGTTTCAATTTTTTGGATTCAATTTTCTAAAAATTAATTTTTTTTCTCATATTTTTTTTAGTGAATATTTTAAAATTTTAAACATTTTTTTTAGTTTTTTAGATGTACCTTACTTAAATGTATCTAAAAAATAAACATTTGTAAAAAAATATTTTTAAAAATTAATAAATACATAAAAATACAAAAAACGTACCGAATTTTCATTTTAAAAAAAATACTTTTGGTATTTGGTGAATTTTCTAAAGATTGTTTTTTATAAATATTATACTTTTTAGGGAAAATTAGTCTACCATCCATCTCAAAGTTTTAGTAATGAAATAGGTCCACAATATTTTCTTTTGTAATCTAAGGTTCCTCACCCTCATACTGTTATATCATACCTATACTATCATTCTCTCTCTACTCTCCTCTTTCTCTAGGGTTTCGATTGCACAAGAGAGAAGGGAAAGACGATGAGGATGATGATTGATCCGATGAAGATTCTGATCACTGCGAGTTCCAGTTCTAGTTCTAATTCCAATTCTAATACTAATTCAAATAGTAGAGATACAAGCTCGAAACCTACCGAGAAGAACTTCAATTTGGAGGATATCCTAAAGAATGAGTATGTTCGAATCAAGTTCTACATTGATCAAACACTTGTCCTACAAGATTGGAAGAAAGTCTAACAATCTATCAAGGAAGGTATATGTGAAGAATCCCTCTATCTACTCATATCTATGGCTTGTTTGCCACTAATGGCTGACCATTATCCCAATTCCACTCTCTCTTCCCAAACAAAGCTCCAATCGACCAATTCCATCAGGAAGGTATCTAAAATTCAACCCAGTTGTCTAGTAAATTTCTTGTAAGTAATTTCTATTATTTATTTTTCTTGTAAACAATTGAATGAGTTTTCTATTGATATAGCATTTACAGTGAATTCTCTCTTCGAACAACTGTCTATGCCTGTTCTTACGTCCAATAAGGGAAATGATTGTAAACAATTTTCATTAGCTTGAGATTGTGAAGAATTTTCTCTGGTTTAAAATTGTGAACAAACATAGAGAAATTTGTGGTTTGATTAAAATTTCACTAGCTTGAGATTGTGAAGAATTTTTTAGTTTAAAATTGTGAACAAATATAGAGAAATTTATAAAATTTATCTGGTTTGATTAAAATTTCTTTGGTTTGGTTAAAATAATTTCTCTGGTTGAAAATGGTGAACAAACACAGAGAAATATATGAACAAAGCCATAGAAATTCTGTGTGAACAGAGAAAGCCAAAGAAAGTTTAATTTTCTCTGGATTTCTCTAGTTTGAACTCAGAGAAATTTTAATTTTTTTTTTGTTTAAACCCAGAGAAATTCTTTAGGAAGTCCAGAATTTCTCTGGAGATAATTTCTCTGGGATCGGAATTTTTCTAGATCGATATTGAGGGACCTTAGACATTATGAAAATATTATATGCCATTTATGCTATAAAATCTTAATACCAGAGACCTTAAAAAAAATTTCCTACTTTTCAAATGTATTTATGTTAGGCGTATCTAAAGATTAAAAAAATTGTCTAGAATATTAAAAAAAATTCAATAAAAATAACAAAAATACAAAAAATAAAAAAAAATAATTTTCTGAAAAGTGAATCCTAAAAATTCAAAACAACCAAGCTGATTTATTTATTCATATGACTAATGTATGACTAATAAAAAAGAATTTAACAGTTATGTAAAATAAAATTTCAAGGGAAATAGTGTAATAATGTCAAAAATATTATTTTTGATATAATTAAACTTAATAATTAATTAATAAAAAAATTATTTATTATGTGATCAAAAATTTAAAAGAGTGACGGAATATAATTTATAAAATTATAAAGAATAATTTGTATTTTAAATAAATTTATAATCTATCTTTAATTTTTTCATCTTTTCTTTCATTTAAGTCCTTAAGCGCCCAATCTAAAAAAATAAAATAAATAAATAAAAAAGTCCTTAAGCGCGTGGACGATGATGAGATGAGATCATCATCTAAAGCTTTTCGAGAATTGATGATGAGTTTATTGTTGTCATGATAAAATCATCTGTTCACTTTTATTTTAAATTTTCTGAATTTTTAACGAAAACTAAGGAAGATCCTCTATCAATAAGATATTATTATTGTTAGTGTAAATTGCACTAGTATTATGAGAAAATATAATTTTTATAAATTAATTTTAAACTTTTTTAAATTTATATAGCACTTGACTTATTTTTTATTAGAAATTTATTAGTTATATGAATGATAAATGATATTATTATTTTTTTTATATTTAAATATATTTTTTATATTGGGGCAAATTACATATACACCCCTCGAGGTTTGGTTAAATTACAGATACCCCTGAGGTTTGAGAAATTACGAATTTCTCCCTGAATGCTATATTTACATAAGAAATTAGGGGGTAATTTGTTATGAAATATAAACCTCAGAGGGTAAATTGTTATGAAAATACAAACCTCAGGGGGCGGGATGTAATTTCCGAAAGCTCAGGGGTATCTGTAATTAAACCAAACCTCGAGGGGTGTATATGTAATTTTTCCTTTATATATTGTGTATCGTTATATCTTAATAATATCTTTATTAGTTTAAATCTCTTTAATTTTATTGAAAAGACATATATAATTATGTCAAAATTATAAGTTATATTATATTTATTTTTGAATCACAAGGAGGTTAGTCTAATTTTGGCCTCTTTTGACATGTTGGTTAAAAGTAATTTATTAATTTTTTATTCTTTTTCAGACGGCATCACTTCTTTATTTATTTAAAAAAAATTAAAAAATTAATTTTTAATCTAGACCTCATCCTCATTATTATTATTTATGCATATATATATTTGTTAATTATGTGTAGACATGGTAGGTGGAGAGAATATAGAAAATACGAAACAAATACATCATATATATATAATATATATATTTTACCAGAGAAAGAAATGATTGAGAATCGAAGGCATCAGTGATAGCCGATGGTAAAGTCATTAGAATAAGCAGAAGAGACCCAATGTAGACAAATTTCAAGTCATTGTTTACAGTTCTAGAGAGAGAGAGAGAGAGAGAGAGAGAGAGTGTGAGATAGAGTTCTAGAGAGAGAGAGAGAGAGAGAGAGAGAGGATGTAGGATGTTGTGTATCGTATCTGCTGATGAAAGGGCCCAGCAGATTTTGTGAAATTTCTGTTTTTGTGCTTTTTGGGTTGATGATGATCTTCTAAGGCTCCTTCAATGGCAGCACAGAAATACCCACTTCGTTTTTTTGGGGTATTTGAGGTTTTTCTTGATGAATTCTGGAGCTGAAGACTGAATTATCATAGTGGCTGTTTGGTGGAGATTTTCTTTCAGTTTCTGGGAAATTTGTTGAATTCGTGGTCAAGTTCTGAAGATGGGAAGTAGAGATTGAACGGGTATGAGGTAATTTCTTTTTATATTTTATTTTTTGATATTCATTAATTTTATGTTAATTTTGGGCTTGGGTTTTGGAGTTCAATAGTTTTTTTTTGGTTAATTTTCCTAGTTTTTTTTTTGGGTAATTTTTTTTTTTAATATTCTCTCTCTCTCAATTATTTTTTTCTAAGCTCTCCACTTAAGTTAATTTTCATAGTTTTTTTTGGGTCATTGAATTCCTTGTTTTAAGTATGGAAAATATACATGATGGCAATCTTTTTACTGGTTTTATTTATTTTATTTTTTTTTGAGGGAACCCAAGGGCCTTTGGACTATAGTGGGTAATAACTTGGAAAACTTCCATAGTTCTGTTTATGCTTAAAAATTATTGATTAGAAAAAATTCTGATGATTGATAGTTCTAGTGGAATTAGATCAAAACTTTTTTCAATTTGGTACATATCTAATTTGTTTAATATTTATGTATTTTATATTTATACATGTGTATATATATATATAGATGTTTAGCCATGGAATCACCCTTAAAAGTTCCCATCCCTCTATGTATGGACCATTTGACAATCGTTCCAGGCTTTTTTGAAGAACCTTGCATTGATGAATTAAGGTTGCCATTTTTCTCTTTGAAGAATTGAGATTTTCCTAATATAATTTTTCTTAGATGTCATCTCCTGTTTACATTTTGTTGAATTTGTACTAAGATGATCACTTGGAAAGAAAAAGGGTTGTCTTTCCTTTGAAGATCTAGTATAGTGGTTTGTCACCATTCCATAGTTCATCTAAGTGACCATTATAGGAACCGAAACTGAAAATGCAAGTGTACTACTTATTCTTACTATTTTGACGAGCTATACTGTATTTGCTGCTAATTCAAATTAGTGCCGTTTATCTAGTTGATTGCAGAAATGGGAACTGATGTGCAAGCCAAGACATACTTTTCTGGATCTTATTCCATGAGGGATTTAAATGACAGATTGGCCCTTTATCATGAACACGTGTCCTTGAAAAATGATCAGTATTATGACTCGTTCTTTACAAGGCCAGCCGCAGATGGATATTTGGGGTGTGATAAGGAACAATTAAGGCAAACGATCTTGAAGCATGACTCCATCTTCAGACATCAGGTGAGCATTATTTCAACTTTTGTAGTGTGGTGAAGTCTGATCTGTAGTGGTATTGTAAACAAACTTTTAGAAATATTGTCGATAAAAGCTTCTCTATCTTTGATTTTGTTTAAGAATGGCAATGGGCTCCTGATTAATCACTTTATATTTCTTTTTTGTGGGTATTCCTGTAAGTTTTAGCAGGTACCTTATACATATTTTTTTAATTGTAATTATTTTAAATGTGTATGGTAATTCAGCTTGCAGAACTTCACCGCCTTCATAGAAGACAGAGGGATCTGATGAATGAAATTAAAAGGAGAGAACTACATCAACATCTGATACCAGCAGAGACGTCACGGCCAAGTCTCTTTTTACCTCACATCCCGTCTAGCAATGTCAAAAAGACATGTCATGTATCTGATTTTCCTTTCATGGATCCAACTTTTACAAGGCGTCTCACATCAGGAACAGATAGTATCCAACCTCCGCGTAGCTTCACAAATGGAAAGAATATATCCAATCATTTTCGCTCCCAAGACACGGTCATATCAAAGGACTATCAATATTCTGAGTCCAAATGCAACACGTTTCAGAGAAGATTGTTGAATCTTGAACTTCCTGCTTGGATGCTGATGTATACATGAATAATAAAGGGAAACAGCTAGAAAAAAGTGCTTGTGGAGTGTCAGGGATTGAAAGTTTCCTTCCTAAAAGGAACTGTGAGGTCACATCTGTGAGAGATGTGCATTTGTCTCTTGGTGCTGGTTTGAGTTCTGGCTGTAACGGTGACACTTCGAGATCTAACTTGTTATTAAGAAGAACCAAAGATATTGTTGATTTGAATGAACCTATCCAGCTCGAGGGAGCATCTGTTTCAGCTCCTGTAGACAATTTAGGTAACATCACCTGCCTAAATGAGGAGATACCGAGGCAGGATTTATTTGTGAATTCAAAATCACAGTCCCACATTTTGTCCAAGGAGCCCTCTCAAAGCTCACGTATAGGAACGAATGGAGGAATTCTCTTCAACAATATGCTTTCAAAGAATGAAGGGAACCGTACACAGCAGTTAACGTATAAGAATGAAGCTGGTATGTTTTTCTTAAATTTTTTTCTTCCCCTTATTATATTTCTTTGTTTGTTTTCTTAGTTTGTGGGTTCATTTTATTTCATTAGTAAGTTGGCTTTGTTTGATTAAGTTCCTTCGTCACAAGTTACTATGCCATGCTCAAGCCAATATAGTGTACTGAGAAGCTATTCAGTTGATGTGATATGGAAATTACATCCCTTTTCAGGACAAACTGTATTCAATACAAATTCTGCCTGTGGAGGTGTCTGTCCCGAAGATTCACTGGCACCGTTTAAATCATTACAAGTTGAACCTAGCAAATTTGACAAGCCATCGTCATTTTCCCCTTTTGATGACAGTAACAGAGAACCTTGGAGAAAAAAGAAAATTTTTGGTGTGGAAATTTCTGAAGGAAATCACAATCAATCTGTTGTGGCTTCCCAAACACCCAGTCGGTGCCAACTAATTCCCCAATCTGATGCAACCAATTCTGAGCCATCCTCTCTACCACCATGGATCAAGGCTTCTTGCAGCTTGAACCAGAATGTGTTACCAGTTCGAGAAAACGCTTGCATTAGCGCCTCTTTTCCATCCAATAGAAGTTCGAGTTCATCTATGCAAAGCAATACAAAACTAGTTTCACGAGCTGAAATATCCTACCAACATGCTGTTTGTCTTGGTTCTGAGTCAGACGTAAAACAATTACCGGTTCGCTTCTCATCCATCGGATCTGATTTTTCAAATAGCATCAACAGTAATAGTTCAGTGCCCGAACAATTTGTGCCACGTGGTTCTGTAAAATCTTTTAAGGTTTCAGATTGCATGGATGCAAAGTCTTCGAATGATATGAAAGATGTGATGCACCCATACAAGTTTCAGAGCGAGGCGATTCTTCAGAAAAATCCTGAATCTGTAGATGATAACCCTATGGGAGGACTGCCTTGGCTTAAAGCAAAAGAACCTTCTGATTTTGAGTGGACCAAAGGAATGGAAGATTCTTATCAGACGAATTCACATTCCTTGCAAAACTATTCTCAGAAGTTGCCAACAAAATGTAATGGGAAAGAGTCTTTCTCAAAGTTTCGTTCGGGGGTACTACATCATCGATGAGTGCCTGTGATGCTGCGCTTGACAAAATCAAAGCCAGTGTATGTCCAAGTGATGGAAAGATTCTTGGGTTTTCCATTTTTGGTGTGCCTCAGATCTCCACTGATCTTTATTCGCCCTGCTCCCCATCTAAGTTGAGTTGCCTTGCTTTTGATGTTGATGGTGGCAATGACGAGAAAGATTTGGGTCATGGTCCCACTGGAGATCAGCTTGAAGTTGAGGATCTTGTTATGGAGAAAAGTTTAGGCAATTTCATTGATTTAAACTTGTGTATGAATGAAGAAGGGGCACCTCCAGTACCATCTCTCCCCAGAGCAGTTGTGAAGATTGCTACCACCAAGATAGATTTGGAGGCTCCGGCCATTCTTGAATCTGATTCAGACCTATCTCCTGAAGCGGACTCTTCAGAAAACAAACTTGAGAGCCCTTCTGAATTACCCTTAGATGAATCCAAGGAGAGTACTGAAGAACTTGCTAGGGTAGCAGCAGAGGCTATAATTTCCATTTCATCATCTGACGTGCTCAATAAACACACTGATGATATCACTTGTCAGACATTGGGAGTTTCATCTAGTGATTCACTCCATTGGTTTGCTGAGGTAGTTTCTTCTTACAATGATGTTCTTGAAGGTGAGCTTACAGAAGTTCCAGGAGGTACTGATGGAACGAATGATGAAGAGTTCGTTCCTGATGGGATGGATTACTTTGAGTTCATGACACTGAAATTGACAGAAACCGAGGTAAAGGAATGCTGCAATAACACCTACTATGATGAAGAGTCCGTTCCGGGGCCCACGGTATTGTCTAAACGGCCTCGAAGAGGTCAAGCGAGGAGGGGGAGGCAGCGAAAGGATTTCCAAAGGGATATACTACCCGGTCTCATTTCTCTGTCAAGGTATGAAGTGACTGAGGATCTTCAGGTATTTGAAGCACTTTTTAAAGAAAGTGGTTTCACTTGGCAGCCAATTCTGTCACAGAGGAAGGCTGCTAAGAATGGTCGTGGGAGGAGGCGTTTAGGGGGTTCTCTTCCCTCTCCGACACCAAAAGTTGTTTGCCCGCCCCCTGAACAACAACCTATTTATCGAGAACTATTACTCGATGAGAGGACTCTGACCGGATGGGGAAAAAGGACAAGGCGTTTGCCGAGGCAGCGGTGTCCAACTGATAATCTTACTCGTGCTTTGAAATGTTGAGTCTTGATTTCAGAGTGTTCTAGCCGTAAAGAAGACTAAAAGAGCAATTCTTCTAAGAACACAAAAACTAATCACAGAACCGAATACAACTCTCTCAAAAAGGCAGGATCCACCTTCTGTGAGAGAGGATTATGTCCTGTTTTATGATCAATTTTTGTGTTCATGGACTTTTTTCTTAAAAAAGCCCGGCTGTGGAAGTGTACTGGGGTCATTTTTGCACTAGGATGGAATGTTGGCTTGAGTGCTTGCTCCAAGTATTCTGACGAACTGTGGTTGTCTGTTTGACAAGATACGATGAGTCTAATCGGCCGGAGTGTGGCTGGAAAATCCTTCTGATGGGAAAGCAGGAGAGAGAGAGAGCAGATTAGGGTTTGTAGCCGAACCATGGGATTGTTGTTGTACAATTGATCTGCTGTTCGTCTAATTTTCTGAGTTCTCGAATAATGTTTATATTCTTGACTGAGACAAAATCATTATTTGTTTGGACTTGACGAGTGTAATGTAAATGAAAATGCTGGTCTGAGAAATTTTTAATACCTCACTTCAATTGCAGATTTATGAACTTGTGTTTGAGGTATCTGCTAATACTATACACTTTCATTTTTGAGGCTTCTGTTTTGTCTTTGATATTTTGTACTTACTCTTTTTTATCTTCACTGTGATTTATGTTTTAATAGATTCATGAATTGCAATTAAGTGGAGATTTGCAAACAATCCCAGACCTGTTTGAACATGATGTATAAGTTGTGTACGGACTTATTAATTGGCCAAATTACCAGTTCATAGAATCTCTCTGTCTTGCTTTTGGGATTTTTTTTTTAGTTTTTTTTAATTTTGTTGTTGTTGTAGAATGGAGGCCCTAAGGCCAAAACGCAAAAAAGAAACTAGGTCACCGGCCCCCTAGACTAGCAGGGTTCGAACTGACAGGGGAGGGGAGTGAACCACTTGCAACTCCATCGTGGCTTTGAGGACTTCTGTCGCCATTGCATCCGCACAAATATTCGCTTCCCGACGCACAAACTGCAAGGAGCAGTACCAATTCCTTGCCACGAGCCTCCAAATTTCCAGCACAATGTTATGCTCCGGGTGCACTCGACTGGGGTGATCAATCAGCTCAATGTCAACTTGGGCATCATATTCCACTACAACAGCTTTGATTGATGATCGAATAAGCATTATATGAAAATTTTCATAGAATAAGAAACAGATGACAGACAAAGACAAATGTTGGAGCACAGATCATGCTAACAAATGCTCTTCAGATATAAGAAAAGATAGAAAAAAATAACACTTTCTAATTTCATATTACTTTCCATTGATTGCAACATTTTTTACAAATAAAAAAATCCATACATAATAATGTAACTCAATATGGACCATTCACTTCAAAATAAAATACTTATAAAGAATATATTTATTTATTAAAATGGTATTGTCACATAATTCTTATTTATTTATTTTGTATGAATTTTATGTATCAAGCATTTTCCCTCTTTTTAATAATTTTACCTATTTTGAAAACAATTTTTACCCTATTCCCAATATTAAACAATCAACTTTGATTGAGACCCTCAATAAAGGTCTATCCCCACCCTCCCCACATACACATGAACGTTGGTCATTGGATCAAAAAAAACCAAAAAAATAAAAAAATTGACCAATCAGAACCCACTAGAGGCTACTTCCAGACCATTTTAATAAAAATAAAAGCAGACTACGGATAAAGGTCCTACCGGGAGTCGAACCCAGGTCGCTGGATTCAAAGTCCAGAGTGCTAACCACTACACCATAGAACCCCTCTGTTGTTATTAGCCTTCAATTTATTTTTATTAAACTAAATCAAAGAGGGGGAAGAGAGGGGGGGGGGGTTGTTAATTTTTAAGTGTGATTCATAAGAAATTATAATTATGGAAAAAAAATTTAGATGACAATTAAAATAATAATATGATAAGGGTTTAGGTGACAAGGATAACAAAATGGTAAAAAGATATACATACGGTAGATACCATTATCATATGGCAAGATCTGTATAATTAATCGGCGTATAATTACACTCTATGATACAATAAGAAAATGTCACAGTTCGAGTTAGTAGACTAACGATCACTTTCTTAAATGATAGGTATTCTGACTTTACTAATAAAAATGTTGGGGAAAAAAAAAAGAGAATACATGGCTGGCCCTCTAGTAAACATAGTAGATTTGAGCATATTGTTGGGCTTGTGGAGTTTATCACGTGTTCCATTTCGATAATCTAAATTGCTTAATGTGTAGAACTCATCGAGTACTTTATGTCTACAAAATAACACGTTAATCGGATATCAATAGTCCCTTAATCGAAATATATTTTTGTCAATGGTAAATATGATTTTAAAAATAAATTATTAATAAAAATGTGTTTCGATTAAAGACTATCGATATCTGATCAACATAATTTTTTAAAAACATAAAATACTTAATAAATTCTACACATTAAATAATTTAAATTATCAAAACATAACCTGTGATAATCCAAAAAGCCCAACAATAAGCTCCAATCCACATAGACCATCTCCAAAATTAAAAAAAAAAAAAGGGGTAAATTATCAATAAATTCTAATAGTTTGACTTAATTCTCATCAAGTCTTATTGAAAATAATTTTTAATAAAATCATCAAAAATAATAATTTTTTGTGACAATTTTTTTATATATATTGCTAAAAATTGACAATTAATAATTTTTTTTATCATGATTTTTATAAATTGTCGTTAAAACTAATACTTAATGATGTTTTTCTGTGGCAATTTCTTCAAACTGTTATTAAAATTTAAAAATTAATAATATTTTTTTATGATGATTTTTTTAAATTGTCGCTAAAACTTATAATTAGTAATATTATTTATGATAAAATTTTTAAATTATCACTAAAACTTAATAATTAATAACTTTTTAAATAATATTTTATAAAAAATGCCATTAATTTTTACCCGACCTATTGTACAATAATTCCACTCCATAAGGCATGGTTTGGGAAGAAAAAGGCCAGGATTTTTTGGCTAAAATAACCACAAAAAATAAAATAAGCCTTTTAACCCAATAAAACAAGAGATTTTTGGTGAAAAGCCTATCTCATTGGGCCTATTTTGTGTGAAGCCCACGGAATAAAACAATGGCCCTAAAAGCCCCTCAATTAAAAAAGTATCATGTATTGACTGAAATGCCCTTCTATATAAGTGGGGAAATATGAAACGATTCCACCGTTTCTCTCCCCTCGCTCTCTGTTTCATCGATTGAAAACCCTCATCCGAATATCATCATTCAAAAACCTTAGCATCGATTGGAAATCCTTATTTGAGTCTCGTTACTCTCTCTCTCTCTAGAGCTACTTTGTCTTTCTACCCCTGCAACGTTACAGGTTCGTCCCTTGCGCTCGAATCGAACTCCGCATTACGCTTTACTCTTTCTCTTGGGCACATATTTTGCAGGTAATTTTTTCCCCTTTCTGTTAGCTTTTCGATATTATGAAGTCTGTCTGGGTTTGTTTTCATTTTGGGAGTGCTATATGAGATTACGTTGGCATGGTATGGGATGGGATTGTGAGGCTGTTAAGGATTTTGTGTTAAAGATGGTCGTCACTTATCCTCGTTTCGTCTTAACCCAACCCTTTGGTAATGTGTGTGTTGAATCAGTGCTACTAAAAAATTGTTTATTCGAAATTATTAACATATAAGATTTTGTTTGATTTATAACAAAATGTTATTCTAACAAAATACACAGGTCAGTGATTTTAATACACTTGTTTTTTTCTTTTTTCTTTTTCATTGTTGTAATAGGGTGAGTAGAGTTTGGGATTTTGGGTTACACTAAGGATCATCTATTTTAAAATTTTTGTCACTATCTTAAAATACTTTAAATTACTAAATCATGTGAGAATGTTAAGGTTTAAAAATTTTGAAAACTAATTTAGGTATTTCGAAATGGGGTATGTAGTTTTGCTTCAATTTCGTTGCTTTGAATTCTGTAGTATTTTGGTCCTACAATTTAATGCTTTCAATTTCACTTGCTTCATGAATTTTTCAGAGTAAAATTTTACTTCCAACCAGAGTAAAGTTTTACTTATAAACAGAGTAAAATTTTACTTTAACTCTAGCCTTTGCTCATTACATACATGTGCATATCAATTTATATATAAATATATATATATATATTTATGTATGTGAATTTGATTGTAATTTCGTCATTTCTCTGATTTCGGTTTGAATGTGAATTATACATGTTAATTTTAGAACTGTGTTGCATATAGTCAAAATTGAGACAAGGTTTTTTTTATTCTTGGCTCTATAAATTTTGTATGTGTTATTTTCTAGGGTATATTGTTCAGAGTAAAATTTACTGTCTCATTACAATGCTTGTGCATTTTCTTTAGTACTTATTTGTTTTGCCACTTTGTTGTTTAAAGTAAAATGTTACACTGTTGATATAGGGAAACTTTTTAGTGTTTTAAAATGGTTGTTACAAGAAGCAAATGTGGTGATGATGATGATGATGATTTTGAAGTTCCACCAACGACTACATAAAAGAAGAAAGTCCCTAAAAAAAAAGAGCAAAAGTAGTAAAAAGTTCAATTCAATGCTAGTGATGATGAAGACTGTAATAAAAGTAATCCAACGCCTTCAACAACAAAACCTCGAAGTTGAATATTGTACATGGAGTACGGGAGAGAGAGAACTATATGAAACAATATAGGTCAAATGTCGTTTCATTGATAAACCTAATGCGAGACACAAGGTTCACTGAAAGACACATTACTGCTCTCGAGAGAACATCTTTTGGGATATTGTTTAAATCTTTTTGGAAGAAAGAATATGTGGTTTTAAAGAAGTTCAAGAAAGTTGATGATAATGTCACGGATATGATCAAATCTTATGACTTTCATGCAAAGGGATTTAAGCTTGGGGGGGAAATGTGTGACATACGTGACAGTGACGTTAACTTTGATTTTTAGGATAAAATCGGGAACGAAAAAAGTAGACGTCTCATATGGGAAGAAACAAGAATCATTTTTTGTGTAGAGAAGGTTCCGTAATATGTCAAGAATATCCATAAAGAGTTTTCAAGAGGCATTAGGAGATGCATTGGAAGGCACAACGACAATTGATGTTGAGGATGTTGCACGAATAATGTGTTTATTTGTTGTGGCAACTTTGCTATTACCAACAACTAGTCTAATAATTGGATGGACTTTTGTTGCCCTTGTAAAAGATTTGGAAATGATGAATTCATATGCATGGTTGATTGCAGTTGCATCCACGTTGACTACTTCAATCTATTCTTCATTAGGAAGTCCTGAAAATGTAACTAGATGTGTACTTCTTCTTTTGGTAAGCAAATTGAACTATTTGAAATATTACGCAATTTATCTTTAGAGAATTAACTAATTTCAATTTTTTATTTTATAGTACTGGTTATGCGAGCATACTACCCACATTCAACCTCAAGGAAAAAAAATTGTGTCCAAGGCTCCTTCGATGGGACTTATCAACATTGAGGAAAAAGCTAATGAAGAGGTCATTACAAACACTAAAGCCCGAAGATGTATCATCTTTCCAAACCCAGCCTTACTGGTTCACTTT